TTGTGTATGGAATTATTGTCTACCAAAAAACAAATGCATTTTATATTTGTAAAAATTTACTAAAATGTAATACGACTATAAGCAATTTGGAAATACAGAAATGAAATTTCGTAAAAATAAATTTGTTTCTTTTGAATTTTTATAATATGTATTCAGGGCATTCGTCTGCCGCTACTGTTGAGAGACATTTTCATATATGTACATAAATTCAATTTCAACCTCTGCAATGTTAATACATATAAAGCGCTGTACTTAGAGCCGTTTTCTGAAGCAAGTTTTAAAATTCATCTGCCCTTTACTGGCCGTCTCCATGGGATAAAATTTATTGCTGTCCAGCTGTCATTTTCGTCGCTAGATATAAATGTTTTATCAGTGGCAATATTTGTGTGGGCTTTTTATATCTTGATATAAGCATTTGTGAGATAGCTTCTGAAACGTATTTTTGTCGGATTTAATCACTTAAAAAATTTAGAAAATGGCTATTTTACATCCAATTACATAATAACAAATATTTTAACAGAAAACAGCTCAATATTTGCTTTTATATTTAAATATCAATAATGTTGCCGCCACGAAGTTTTCATGCAAATGAACATGTAGCTGTCAAACTACTAAATTGCCGGCAATAGATGGCAAGATATAAGCTCTGATATATGTTGTGCTTTGAAGAGCAATGAGCGGTCTCCATTAGGGATGTTCCGATACAAGTAAATACGAGTATATACTCGAGACTTTTGTTTCGATACCAACTACCTTTTTTACTCGAATCGTTGTGTCGAATCGTTGCGTCGATACCGCATTGGTATCGAAAGAAAAGTACTTGTATCGAATAGATTTGAGCCATATCTGGTCGGCCATATTTTTTCTATGGAAGAAACTTTGCTTTAAGCAATGGCACCGCCAAAATCTTTTTACAAGAAGATCGAGCGATTTCGGCAGGACGCCCTATTTCAGAATGTGGTTCAAAAACACCCTATCTCGGCTGCCGATTCAAAAATGCCCTATCTCAAATATTTTCAATATACTTTCAGTTGTGACCGGAAAATTGTATTACCAAAAAATGTTACCACTTCTTGTCACCGCGATTCTAGGTACGTTGGTAATGCAGTGCGAAAATGGTTTAAAAATTGACAGACACTTTAATTACCGGTTACAAAATTTATGTTACCAGCGCAGAATAGACTTGTTAATGTGTTAGTACATACACATATATAGATAAAGAACTTCTATTTTCATATTTTACCCAGTGTTGCCAGAACTTTTTGGACCAACCGGCTAAATTGGCAAAAAACGGCTAAAAACGGCTAAACTGTTTCAACAAAATTTCACATGTTTTATTTAAACAAATCACAAGTGGAAAGACTAGTTCCTGGAGAGAAGTTTCAAATTCAAGCTGGAAAAAATTTTGACAGCAAGAATTTGTAATTAGGAAAAACTTATGGTGGTTTTGCCAATATTAATTTGTTCGTTAAATTTAAAAATTTACAAACTTGAGCGATTTTAAAATGAAAAATGTAAGTAAATACTTGTTTACTTAATTAATTTAGTTAATTCCAATGATTTGAAAGGTACTCGGCTGAAAATAACTGTATTCGTAATCGGAATGCAATCTCAACCAGAGTCGATATAGGAAACCCTGTTGAAGAAAGTCGGACTAACAAGAAATTTACATATAGATCCTTTGCCCCTCTGAAAAAATTTTAAATACTCTATACAAATTTCTTATGTCTGAATGCAACCGTGGACACTAGCTGGCAGGGAAACTTGCAAATTCCTGAAAACTTGCGTTCGTGCAGAAATTTGCAAGTTTCTCTACTTGAGAGAGAATTTGGGAGCATTTTTTCTTACTATCTGATATTTTGAGTGATAATTTTCGCTGAAGTTTCGACGAACAAACCAATGGCTTCCCAGAAAGTTTTGCTTTACATAGAAATTTCGGCTCTTTTATTTTCATTTTGACGCATTTCAGTGTTGGTTCTTTAAATTCAAGTTGGCTTTCGGTTTTTGGAATTTAAATAAGTTCTCAACGAAATAAGAGTTTTTAAAAAAATACATATACAAATGCAATATCCATTTTTCCCGTACCATAAATCTTCAAGCGTGGGCGACAATGATGTTTTGTAATTAAGGCAGAATTGAATATGAGCTAAAAGATTTTCGATTGCTTAGTCAAAAATGGAAACATATATATTTGAATCTTAAGAAAAGAAGGGAAATAGCAAAATCGGCTAAAAACGGCTATTTTTTTTTTACAAAACGGCTAACAACTCGGCTGCCGGCTAAACCGAAATTTCTCCGGCTGTTTGCTATCGCAACCGGCTAAATCTAGCCAGACTAAAATGGCAACACTGATTTTACCATAAAGTGAATCCCACTTAAGCTCAGATATCTTACCCGCTTAAGTACCCATATTAACTTTTTACTTATCACTCGAAACTTATATTGTTTCAAGCTCCAAAAACTAATCTTCCAAGTGAACTTCCAAAAACTTGCAAAGAAAATCGTATTAATGAAAATATGAAAAAGAATTTCTAGCGTGGATCTCTTAGTGTGTCCAAATGAATTCATAAGCCTTTTCAAATCATCAATTTAACATGAAAATTTTTTATTTAGTAGAATTGAACATGAATGGGGTTTTCCGCAACTTACCGATCCCACCTAATCCTATCGAGGGATATCTGATCACAAATATTTTTGAAAATGGCAAGCGTTGCGCAATCTAGCGGGTACATTTTTTTGTAAGTCAATTCTTTCTATATATCAGATTTCCCAAGCCCACCTCGATGCTACTATAGTCGAAGATATCACATATGTATAAATTTTGGTCCCGATTGGAGACGGTTAAGGCGTGTCAGACTTGGCAATATTTTCAACTTTTCCACGCAATTGTCAAATTGAGAAAGAGAAATTTTATTTCCATGTGTGAACAGCCAGAAAGACCTTTCTGTCACTTTTCGGAAATCAGTTTCAGAAATGAAAGTTACAAGGTGTGACTGCAACTAAAAGCGCGCAAATTGATTTCGGAAATATATTTAAACTTGCTCGTTCTACACTAGCAATCAGCAACTCGCCTTTCGGAAATAAAAAACCTCTTTCGAAATACACTTTACATGCAAGGTGTGACTGCTCATACAACTGCTTTCTGAAATGTCTCAATTTGACAGCCTTTTCGAAATATATTTCCACGTCTGACACGCTCTTAACTGCTCCTGCAATCTCTCTTGGAAATTCTTGAGTTTGACAGACTTTTGAAAAAGGACTTGCACTTGCCACGTTTAACAGCTACTTAAAAATACGGCTTTTACAAATATCTTGACTTCAATTCCAACATCGAATGTTTTGCAAATATTTATTTTAATGTATGAACATGTCTACCCCAAGTTCCAAATATGATCCAAACCGGACTATAAATACGAATTTTCAAGCTCTTATCTTGACTCCTGTGATGTCTAATCAATCTGGGTGTGTGATTCCGTTATTAAAATACATATACATACATATGTATGTATGTACGTATTTCGAGACGTAACTATTTAACATATTGGTAATTCCATAAAATATTTACAAACTCAATATTTTTTTTGGGGTGAAATATATTTTTTACATTCTTAATCGAAAAAAAGAAGACACCAAATTTTTTATTTCGCCATGATATTCGAAAATATCGAAAAAAAAATCTCGAAATATTGAACTCACGGAGAAGTATCTTTTTTTAATTGTTTGCAGTTAATAAAATATTTGTCGGAGAAACTTTAGTATAAACTTTATGTACGCAGGTATGAAAAAACTCGTAACTTCTACAGTTTTGGCGTTTTCACTCTCAAATTTTTACAGCTTACTTCATAAAGTTTGACAATTATTCAGGTTGAAAAAAAATAAAAAGCAAACATGATGAAGTTAATAAAAAAAATAAAAAAATTAAAAAATGCGATATTTTAATGCAAATTTTTTTTTTTTTTAATCTATCTCACACTCCCATGAAAAGCTGAGGTAATTACGCACATTTCGATACCTTAACTGATTTTCTCCGACAAATAGTTTATTAACTGCAAAAAATTAAAAAAAAGATACTTCTCCAGGAGTTCAAAATTTCGGGAATTTTTTTTCGAGATTTTCGAATATCATGTCGAAATAAAAAAAAATAGGTGTCTTCTTTTTTCGATAAAGAATGTAAAAAAATATATTTCACCCCAAAAAAATATTCAGGTGTAAATATTGTGTGGAATGACCCATATGATAAAAAAATGATAAAAAATTCATACCGGCACACAAACATACGTCTGTTCACTACTAAGTTTTTAAATGTCTACTGAATATACTATAGTAATGTTTTCAGTTAAATGACATCTTACGCATAACCCAAACCCCATATCGCTAATATACATACCTGTTATGAGAACAGCATATCCAGTAGTATGAATACCTATAGCAACAAGTATTACTCATACGCCCCACCGTATCCATGAGTTTCTGTCGTTTCCGCAAGTTCTCAGCTTTCTCTCCGAAGTGTTAGTTTGTTGCCGAAGCGCTTTCAACAACATGTTGCTAGGTAGCTACGATGCTCTTATTGTACGACATGAACAAGCTCTTGAAAACGAACAGGCAACAAACAAAACGAACAGTGCAGGCAACAAGACAACATCAGCGCAGAAATACATACTGATATACAAACGTACATGTGACTACGAATATGTCATAAAAGTAACACCTTACAATATACATACATACATATGTACATATGTACATACAAACGTACAAGTATAGTGCATGCAACACGCTAGTCGTCAGCAACAACGGCATTTGGGGTGACGCCTGTGGGACGCGCGCGCATGCCTCCGTACTACATATATACATACATATGTAGGTGTGTGCATATAGCCAAAGGTATTTGACTGTGTAAGTATTTCTATTGGTTTATTGTGCTGGGTGGGAAAAACAAATCCGGCGCGCAGTGAGTACAAAACAGTTTGGCCGGCGACGTCCTACGGTGCAGGTCGGTGCCGCTGTTACTTGCGTTTTCCGCAGTTGGATGTTGACGAAAAACCAGTAGTCGGCGGATAATTGGATGGTCGGCAGGTCGGTCGGCCTATCGTACAAATAGGCATGTGCACATATGTACGTACGAGTGCTCTGTTGAAGTGGCAGTTGAATGGAAACGATTTGGCGGGTAGTCAATTCACTGCATTTTTACGCATCTGTGAATTCGAACGCAGCAATAGATGCTAATAACAAAAGCAACGGTGTCGAGGTGACGTGTGTGCTTGTTGTGTTTTTGCTACATCTGTGAATACGTTTGGTGATTAAGTGGTTTCAAGTGAAACAATTTTGAGTGTGCTCCAGCCTATTGATATGGCTCTAACCCCTCGCACAGTGGGAATCTAATAATTCTAGCTATTCGCGAAATTTCAAATGGCATTGACAAGATATTTAGATGCGTCGGTGAAACACAAGGGATATACATATGTACGACTTTTCACATGCAAACTCATAAATTTACATACATACATAATACATATGAGAAATTACACACGTATGCTAAGGAAAAAAAAAAACATAAAAACTACGCGCTTATCTTCTCGTGCTCAACTGCCAGCGGGTCAGCGCATAAGTTCGGAAGTGTGACAAACCAATTAGAGTTTCACTTTGTGTTGCGTGTTAATTATATCTAAAAGATACCTCGCGGACGTTACGCTACAGCGGCGCTGGCGCTGGCGCTGATGTTCACGTTTACAATAAAAGCAATGATGATGACGATAGAACGCGCAAACTGTTGCCAATGGATATATTTTAAAGTATAAAAAATTACAAACAATAAAAATTGGCTACGAGCAAATCTACTTAATACATACCCAGATGTGGGCAAAGTAAACATGTCACAAATTTTGAAGCTCACACCAGGAAATAAAGTAAATAAAACATATTTAATAATAAACCAAACACAACAATAAATGTCCCATGGTCCGAGCATAAATTTAGGCTGTGGTAATGAAATGAAAATTCTTTAGCTAATATTTTAAAGTGTAAAAAAAAATATTCAATAATGCATAAGATACTCTTTCCCTGGTGTCTTGGTTAATAAACGTGTGTGGTTGGGTTTCTACGAGGACTGTCTTTTAAGTGTTGCACATAACAATAAAAAATATGTATGGTTAATCAGTGAAAAAATTGGTTGTTTCTCAAGTATTATCCAACACAGTTTTGCTACTCTGAAGTTCGTACCTCCAAAACAAGGTTTTTTGAAGACTTTAACGGCATAGCAAAACGCTCACAATGTTTTTTTTTGCTGATGTGAAAGAAAAACCAATCCTCGTGTGCCAAGCCGGGTTGAAAGGCGGATGACCTTCAAATCTTGTGTGTCGTACGACAGTTGGGTCTACGTAACCGGAGGCACCCAGATCTACATACATACAAACATATGTACGTATGTATATCTGGGCAAGGACCGTCAGTTCAGATGATTATCCAAAATAGTTGTTGGGGTATTTTTATGCTGTTACAACAACAAGCTCGCATTGTTGTGCGAATAATGATCTTTCTTCAGCGGTTGGTATTCCACTATTCTCCTAACGCTTTTGAAAACAAAGGGTTGTGTTCAATTCAGCATAAGAAGTTCTACCTTGCATAAGAGGCAAAAAAAACAGCCTACCATTTGCTTTCATGTGTTCTAGCCACGAACAACTTTATTCGGGTTTTCTTAATTTGAAATACGTAAACAGCGAATGAGCTCCATGTTCGTCATTTAGGTATCACAGAGTGGTGTTATCTAGACATTTTTTTTTTATCGAGAATGAGTTCAGCTCAATAAAAAAAAATCCAAACAAAAACACTCTTTAACTGTCAGAATATACAAATCTGTGTGAATGCGCCAATCGAGTGATAAGTAGAATATGTTCAGTCAAACAGATAACCAAACTTACCAAATATGGCGAACATATATGTCTTTCCATCTGTTATTTGGTATGCCAACTGTATGAATTGATACAACTTTGATTGCGTTTTCCCACAAAATTGAAATTTTGAAATACTTCGTTATATTATTAAGCGATATGTTACGCCGCCTTGGCTAAATTTTTCGTAAGTCTCACCTGTAAAAACGCATCGCACAAAAATGGCCATTGTTTAGTTCTATTTTTTTTTTACACCACTACAAACAACACAATAATTCCCCTGGCGATGCTTTGCTTAGTATTGCCTAGGTGCAGGACTTAAAAGGCAGCCCTCGCTTTGATGCGCGATTGTTCCTAATGGATGACTGCACTATATACCTAACATACAGATATATGTACATATGTATGTACGTATGCATGCGTGTATATATTTTTAGAATGTCGCTTTATAGGAATTTTTATTTTTGAAATAATTTATTAATGCCGCAGAGTTTTGCGTTGTATTCTGGCAATAAAATTCGTCGAGTTGAGCATATGTATGTATGTATGTATGTGATGTGTACGTATTTAGATATGAATGTGGGTGTTGTTTTTACTCATGTGTGCGTGATTGTGACAATTTAGGTTATTTTTAATCTTAATTAAGAAAGTGAGGACGACACGCCATATAGCTTAGATAGCATTTATTTAAGAAACTGTGAAATTCATACATTCCCGATTCACACACTTTTTTATTTATTTCGAAAAGCATTAGTTTATATGTATTTACCTTTTATTTCTTTAGGTAATCCGTACACATACACATCCGCATGTACATACATACGTACCATATGCGTGTGTACTTATGTACATATATGCATATGCTTAATTACATATGTATGTATGTATTTAGAAGTACAAACAAGCGCACAGTATTTCTAGTCATTCATTATTTGTTTAACTGATTATCACTTGTCTTATTTAATTACAATTCAAAAACACCTTTTGTATGTATGTAGAATGTATGTATGTATGTACATATTATGTACGTTTGTATAGGGGAATTCCCTTGAAGCTTTCGAAGTCGTTTTTTTATGAATGAAACCGGATTTTGTCTACTATGTTGCATGCGATGATGTACATAAAATGTTCAGCGGTGACCCATCGGTCATCGCAGAAAAAAATAAAAACGACTGCAATTTTTTATTTCAATGAAACTTGTACTACTTGCAAAAAAACTCCAGACACCAATATATAAGAGCATGTCAGACGTGGCAATATGACCAACTTTTCCACGCAATTCGCTATCAAAATGAGAAAGAGAAATTTTATTTCGATGTGGGCACAGCCAGAAGGACCTTTCTGTCACATTTCCGAAATCAGTTTCTGAAATAAAAGTTGCAAGATGTGACTGCAATTGAAAGAGCGAAACCCGATTTCAAAAACATATTTCAACTTGCTCGTGCTGCACCAGCAACTTTTATTTCTGCTGCAAGTGCATAATTTTGAATAAACTAACAGAAATGATTTTAACTAATTACTTTTTTGGAAATTAATTGTTCAGTTATGAATAATAAATTAGGTAATATTCAAAGTAAAAATTACGTTTATTATAATAAACAGAAATAAAGATCAACCGGCAAAGTGGCTCACGGTTGCATTTTAGTAAAGTAAAAGTAAAGTCAGGTTCGCGAAGTGCGCCTATTCAAGTGAAGCGTAGTGCACATATGTGCATACATACATACATACATACATATTCGTATGAAAATGAGCAAAAACAAAACGCCGGTAGTTTGCAAAACGTCAAAGATAGATACTCCTTTAAAATCGGCTGCGAAATGAAAGATTGAAAAAAAAAACAGAAAGGCCACAGAAAATAAAGAGGCAAATTATCCACGCTTAGCTGAGACACACAACAAAATTCTGCTGGGGCGAAAGAGGCACAAGAGATGTGCCATCCATGCTTTAGTTTAATGCGGACTGCTTTTTTCTCATCCCATTTCGGCGATGCACCCAAATATTGCTGCTCCGCTTCGTTCATTCTGTGGAAACTTGCATCGGTTTATACATACATACATACATATGAATGCATATACATAGGTATGCACATATTTATGTATGTATGTATATTTATCCGCTTGTATGTATGTACATATGTTTGCTTATGTAAATATGCAATTTCATTCCATCTGTTGATTCTACAGCATTCGCATTTTCTCGTTCGCCTTTTTTTTTTGGGGCATATTCGCTTGGCGTTACGAATTAATTTGCACTCTATTTTGTCGTCCAAGTGCTTTCATATTGTTGACCGCCAAATGAAATTTGTGCATTTGCTTCGCTTTTGAATTGTGAAAGATAAATAAAAATTATAAATAATGAAGTGAAAATGATTTGATCATAGCGGAATCATAAAGCACAGACGCTTTAAAATGACCTTTGATTCAAGACGAATTGTGGCAGTTGCAGTTTAGAATTGGACAGAAAAGGAAAATTGGGTGCTTTTGCATATACACCTACATACATACATATATATGTATGTATGTTCGTAGGTTTGTTTAAAAAACATAAAGACACTTAATGTACTAATTAAATAATAACATAAATGATGTGGAAAAGACAAAAAAAAAACCTATTCTCACCCGGGTGTCGGTAATTAAAAAACATAAGTAGTAATTCTGTAATTTAATTGTGTGAAAATTTTCACAAAGTACCGCAAGCGAACCGATTATTGTAATCGATCTCGACGAGCTCATTTAAACAAAATTTACTTAAGGCGAGTATAGGTTCAAACTTGGTAGAAATGTCCACATACAAAAGATATAAAAGCTTAATATGTAGAAGAAAATGTTTGTCCTTTCACATTTTCAAATACTCTGCAGTCTAGCTATGTCCTTAATATTATAGAAGTGGTGTCATTTCCATTGAAAATATAGAAACCCCTGGCAGCATTCAATTTTATTTTTCGCAAACAATTTACGCTACCAATTTTAAGGTCGCAACTCTAGATTAGGCGCGTATTTCGCTGCTGCAAGGTTGCTATTTATGCAAGCTTACATCCATGCAATAAATCGTGAATACCTCTACTGACCTTTATTTGCGTACACGCACTTAGTATGTATTTATGTGCATATCTTTATAAATATTCTGTAATTGCCATTTGCTAGCCGGTTTTTTTTTTGTCGGCGCAAAACTGTAGGTCCCTCCCCTTTGTGTGACAACATCGCAAATGGGAGGAGAAGCTCGGCCAAACGCTAACGTGCAAGCGCCAATCTGTTATTATTATTATTATTATAAAAGACGATAATTTCAACATCTTTAAAAAGGATTTTTAGAATTATTACAATTCATATTTTGTGCCGCCATTGCGAGCGAATACCATCACTTGGTAAGACTCAGATTCGAGCCACATCCGACGAAAAACGATAATTATTTTTATAGAAAGCAATATTAAATATTTTAAAACCATTTAGCCAAACTTTTTGTAGCATCGGGAATGCAAAACTGATGGAATATTTTCAATAACTAAAAGAAATTAGCTAAAAAGGAGTGTAGTGAAACTTAATAAAAAAAAAAAAAACTAAAAAACATTCAACAGCCTAGCCAAATAAAATTCACGCTGTGAAAATTGTAAAAAATACATAAATTTATATAAATAAATATGTACCTATGCATTCATATATGTATTTATATATGTACGTATGTTTTTAAACAGAACATGATGTCATACTACATAGTACATCATGGTAAACACATCGGCGTAGTCAGAATGAAATTTAGGGGGAGTACTATTTTTTATATATAGGCAAATTCTAGCGTTGCGAACGTTACGTTCAACGTTACGTTTTAACTTGTTTGCCGACAAAAATATTATAAGTTTACATTTTTTGTGGTATAAGGGAAGTTTTATAGCAGTACTTATGAGAGAACAAAATAATGGAAATTTTAATTTGAGTTAATGTCGGTATATTTGCCTTCGCAATTTATGTTCGGACGTTATTGAAAAATGAAGTGATTTTGATATGACCATCAAAGTCAACAGATTTGCGCAAATTGTCATGCATGGAGAGCACAATCTACAAAAATACTCTAAAGAGAAAATAATGATGTTTACAAAATGTAATATAAAAGCAAACTAAAGGTTGGATTAACTTTAAAACAATTGTATATGTGCTTTCGGGACGTTACGTTACGGACGTTACTCTTTTTTCCGTTGAAAAAAAAAATGTTTTTTTTTTTAAGCGATATTGTTGGATTTTATTAAAAGACAAGAAATAAGAGGGGCAAATCAAATTTCTCAAATAAATGTGAAAAGAAATATGAAATAAGAATATGTTGTACTATACCTTTTTTGACAAAAAAATGAGAGAATTCAAATTGCATGCTTTTTTGGCGATTTTGGTTGACTATTTCTCGGATTCGCCTATATACAGGGAAAAATTGAAAGTTAGGGGGGTTCGAGCCTCCTTCCTGCCTCTACCTGGCTACACCCATGGATATACATGTAGTATATATCTAATAAATCCTATATCTACATACATACAAACATTTTCGCACAAGTTATTCAAAAGTGTATTATTTCAAAATTTGTCATTTTTGGTATTATGATATAGAAATGTTTTCCCTTTCAATTAACACGAGGTCGGAAATGTATGTACTTGAAGAACGTACGTTTGTAATTCGTGTGCACATGTGCATAAATAAAGCTCTGTAAATGCTTAAGCAAATATGTAATTCGTCCAGTAGAAATTTTACACATAGTTAAAGTGTTTTTGCCAATATGTATTAGCAGACAACACTGAATTATAATTGTAGTAAATACTTAGATATTTCATAAATTTCATTTTTTTTTTGCTCCACCCTAACATATTTAGAGGGCAAGAATCGCCTTTTGAATTGCCTAGTCACAAATTCGCCTTTCTACCCCGCATACAAGTAACCGTTTTTAGCGAAAAGAGCCACCAAGCAAGTCGGTAAATTAATTAGTTTGGTCACGTATACGCCCAGCACACCCATAATTCCTGTGTTCGTCAGCTCCTTCCGCCATTTGGCAGCCGGCAACAGCAGTAATGAATATTTTTGTATGTATCTAATATGTGTTAATTAATTTTACGAAAATCCTCGTCAGTCATCGTTTTTTTTCATTACAACAGGAAAGTTGAAGAGACCAGCAAAATTCAAACAAAATCGCTCATAAAATGTAAGAATTGAATCAATGTTATATACATCGAATTTTTAACCGACTCCAAAAAAAGGAGGAGGTTATCAATTCGCTGGAATATTTTTTTTTTTGTTGTATGGTGCCACATAACTTTGGACGACGTTCGCCGATTTCTATAATTCTGTTTTTAGAAGATAGGTGGTACCTCAGAGGTGGTCCCATGCTAATTTGCTTTAGATACGATCATTGAATCATGCAGAAATTAACGGTACTCGTAAATTTGAATATGAGAATCGAAGTCGGGTTTGTTTTTTTTGCTTAAAAAATACTTGTTGTGCTTAACTTTTCTCAAAACGCTCCACGAATTAACACATTCAATCAATATGCCATGTCCAAATAAATTTATAAACAAGTACAGAAGTGGGCTATAAATAAGGATCAAAGATTAGTAGAAATGTGAGATGATGTCTCTCAATTATTGATAGCTAGTTCTCATTAACGGCGGGCGTAGCTCAAAATGGACATCGATCGATTTTTACTTTTTTTTTTTTTTTTTTTTAAATTAGTAATGTGCGTCCATTACACAGGTTTAATTCAGAATTCGTACAAATTTCGAAAGATGCGCTCATTTCAACGCGCAGGGTTTTATTGCATTTGGTTTCTACATAAGTATCTACTTAGTATTGGCGAATACTTGGGTCAAGTCAAGATCGAACAGCTGCGAAGATATTTAACGAAATTCAAGTCTTAATTGTTCTGTACGTCAGTACAAATTTGCATCTAGTGTTTTGTTGATGTTTGAACATGAGGTCAAAGCATTGCTATATTTACATATGAATCAGCACATACATACATATGTACAAATGTACATATATTTACATACGTGAATACTAAGGCAGAAAGTACGAATGCATAAATGCAAACAACAACGAAAATACAAGTAACTTTTAAGCACAAAATAAAACCGACTTCAATGCTTATATACAAATTTAGGAGTTCCATTAATTTTGTCATGATCCAATGATTGGAACTAAATTAAATTAGTATGGGATTACGCGATGAATTATCGCATTTCCCATGAAAAAATATTATCGAAAACGGTTCACGTATTCTAAAGTATCCAGTGACATACATAAAAAAATATGCCGATAATTTGATAACCTTCCTCCTTTTTTTTGAGGTCGGTTAAAAACCTTTAAATGCTACCTCAATCATATTTAAATGTTCTTAAAAATTGTTTGTGCTTGTATATCATCTCCCACCGCAATGATTCCCTCATTTCGCATAAATAAAGAAGCACAACGGCAACAATACGCATACATACATACATATATGTAAAAGATTTTGCGCTTAAGTTATCATAAGTAGCAAAAGATTAGTAGCAATAAAATATTATGAACATTGCTGCACACGAGAGAAGAATTTAGTAAAATTTATAGGCACAAATTAAACTGAATAATTAAACGCATGCCAACTTGCATACCTATGTAGATATATTAGGGATATTCACGATCCGGTGCATACTGTCTAGCATGGTGCATAGATAGCACGACTGGCTAATTTTGTTGTTGTTTGAACACATGAAACAATAACAATCATGCTATTTATGCTATCTATGCACCATGCTAGACAGTATGCACCGGCGCGTGAATACCACTATTGTATCTATGTACATACATATGTACCAAAATGTGTGCATGTTCATTTATATCATTCACATACAGCACTTTGTCACTCAATCTATAACCACCCGACTACATTCGATCGAACCGCTTTAGAATGATCCCAACTAATTAATTATAATTATTTCGCGTTCTGTCGAGATTTGAAATGGTACACAGATGACAACATACACGCAGGCACATACTAATATTTACGTACATATACATAGGAAATAGGTATCCGTTGAAAGCTATTTACAAATGTTTTGCATGAAAACATATTAAAACATTTTCGCTTAAATGAAAAAAGTGTTAATTTATTTATTTATTTGGCGGCCGCCGTTGTCAAGTGGTTAGAGGTAGAGTGGTACCTGGTCTGCGCAACATAAAAAAAAAACTTTTTTTCTAATAACGGTCGCCCCTCGGCAGGCAATGGCGAACCTCCGAGTGTATTCTGCCATTAAAAACGGCAATAAATAGCTGAGTGTGCAGAGGAGGGAACTACTATTGGTTAGCTTTCAAGATGTCCTTGGTTTGACTGCCGTCAGACGCAACACATTAAAATTATATAAAAAGTATTTATAAAAATTGAAATGATTGCTGAATCTAAAATTTATTTTTTTTTGCTTGGTTTTCCGTAACTATGAAAAAGCTGCAGTGAAGTGCAGAATGAAATCGTTTTGAACGAAAAGTTGAATCTGTATCCGTTTCACTTTTCTGTACATACATACGTTTCAGGTGCGCACTTTAGTAAGAGAATGGATCCGAAATGCGACCGAAACGCAATCGAAAAACCAATGAATTGGCTAGCTGGGGTTCTGGTTTAATTTGATAATACTAGTTCTAATAATATGTATGTATATACATTTAGGAATTTATGTTATTTATGTTTCTCATATTGTGGGTGCCTACATTTGCCTGGTTATCAGGTTATCTGGTTGAAAATTATTATTCTATAAGGACAATTTATCTAAGCGCGTAAATGCGTCGGCACCACGTAAGCCTCGTAAACTTACTTAATTTTGTATAAACTTTTTTTTACTATTTCTACTAAATACCATTAAATCAAAAAAATATTAGTTTTCGTCAATAATATCGAAACTAATAGGTTTAATCGATAAAAAATTGTCCAACGTAAACTAACATAGTACATACAGAAATTATTTATTAGACTGCATATTTATGTATTCTTGTTATTTAAAATACACTCTCTTGCATTTTCAGATTAAATATTGTTGACGTTTGAAACTACTTTCAAAATACTGTTCTGCTAATGGCTTCCCATAGATGCAAAAATGGTTCAATTTAACACAGAAAATGTTAAAGCGGAAAATGGCATCAGTGCTGGTATGATTGGAGACGGTTGTAAAATGACCAATGCCTCCAACACGCCTACTCCATCGCCCTCGCGAACACCAAACAAGGCGCGACAGTTGTCAGTGATGGACGAAGAAGAAGGCGCTACTGGTAAGTGAAAATAGACGATTGACCGCCAAATAAGAACGGAGCATAAAAATGCTAAAATTTCATCGTGGTGATGCGGTTGAGTTTCCGTTCAAAACGTCATTTGAGCCCCAAGCACGAGTGCTTATACTCAGTGACAAGGCGAATTTATACAAGGTGGTGCTACTGGCGAATTCAGATTTTCGCTGCGGTACTTCCTAATGTCAAAATGATGTGTTTGTTGTAAACAAAGCGAATTCATATTACAACAAACACATTATTTTGACATTAAGAAGTACCGCGGCGAAAATCTAAATTCGCCAGTAACACCACCTTGTAAAAATTCGCCTTGCTCATCTCGACATCTCGTGCGTTTATTGAATTTTTACAGCTCACTCAGTCAAGTAAAATGGGCATACGTTTTTTTTTTAATAATTTTTTTTCGCTATTTTCGCCTGAGTGTGTGTTCGCATCCGATGTTTACTCCCCAACTTACAAACGCAAAATGATTCGTGTCAAGTGTGACGATAGACAGACGGCTGCGTTAACTCATTAAACACGAAAGCCAAAGAGGAGGGTACAAGTTTGATCAGATCTACTGCTTCATTAATCCGGATTAACGTTGCCGTCTGTCTATGCTATAAAACATTCTCTGCATAAAATCAAATGTTTCATCCAGAATGCTAAAAGTAGCGCAATTTCTCACGAAAATATTCAAACTTACGGCTATTGTGATTGGGACTACATTCTGAGCAATTTGGCAAAATATAGAATCCAAAGCAGTACCCTGTAAGTGACAATTGATACACTCTAAGTCATTGCTTTGTTAAATTCAATATTTACTTATGTTGTACAAAGTATGAATTCGAATAAAATTCATTCAATTCACGACTTGAACTTACTGGTACGTACATACAAATATGTAGAGTCCGACCGATTAATCGGCGTCGGCATCGGTAGCGGCCGTTTTTGGCCGATTCTTAGCCGATTCTTTTTACTTCTTCCGCAATTTTAACAAATGTTCCATCAAAATTTTAAACTGTTTAATCAGATTTTTTTGAGTACGCAGTCTTTTAAATTTTAGTATAATAAAGTGCAAGTTTAAAGTAGCTAGGTAAGTGTGGATTTTTGACAATTGTTTGTTCACTCATTTTCTTCCAAACAAAATATGTTCGAAAATTTTTTCGTATGGAGAAAATCCGCAACAACTTCGACAAAAAAATTTCCAAAAATCAATAGTAAGTCCTAGGTACTTAAAATTTGCACTTCATTGAAATAAAATTGAATGGGCTACAAAACTGCATACTCAGAATGTTTAAAGAAAAAGTTTGAAATTTTTACTAACTTGGTTTTTGTTAGATAACGAGCTACACTTTCATAAACAAATAAGCAAGATTAAATAAACGAAAGGGAAATAGCCAAAGATTGCTAAAATATCGTTCCTGTAAGTATTGTTACGATTATCCTTGAATTAATATTTTCACTGGGTTGTTAAATTGTTTACGTTACAAAAATACTTTTATCATTTAATATCTACGGTTACTGTTTATTAACAAATTGTATTCAATGCATTTATAGTCAGCAGAATCTGCATATTTTTACTACTATGAGTATAACTAAGAAATGTGATTTCGAATGAACAATTTTTTTTTAACATTGAATAAGTAAAAGACCACGGAACAAAGTATTGCAATGATATGTATGCATAGGCGTACTGTTAATACATATTTATGTATGTACATACACACACTCTTGAATGATTGTTTGCTTTGTAATGTTATTTTTTTGTGTTTTTCGTTTGTTATTATAAAAGTTTATCAAAAACATTTGTACTTGAATGAATTTATATTCAGGTATTTTTTTTTAAAGAATCGGCATCGGCATCGGCCGATTCTTTGCCCTAAGGCCGATTCTTTGCCCTAAGGCCGATTTTCTGGCATCGGCATCGACATCGGCCAAAATCGGGGGGAATCGGTCGGACTCTACATATAAATATGTACTGTGGTGCTAGCACATATTTATGTACACGGGAATATCGCAGGAAAATTGTTTGCGCATGTTGTGTCGCTAAATCCAATCAACAGGTTGATGCTGCAGGCGTCGCTTAATATTCAACGATGAACACATCAACACAATTACTTAATCAAAAAGGAAACAATAATAGCATGTGAGAATTGTGCGCCGAGCAGTGTGAATATAAGCTCATATCGCTCATTTACTTCAATAGTGTCATAACTCAAAAAAGCAAAACTCGCGACGAACGGCTTTAAAGTTTTGCATTCACATACATACATATATTCCCATAGTAAAAATTAAACATATTTTGTTCTGGAGAGATATTGGTGTTCGACAAAATAAGAATAAGAGGTAGCGGCAATTCCTGCGTACTCAACTCAAAATTTATATTTATTGGATTATGACCAGGGTGAGGATTTTAAGGCATTTGTATATTTTGTCTGCTTGGTCGTATCTGTAAACAAATTAAAGAATCACACATTTCATATCTTCCTTGATTAAAAGTATAAATTTTAAGTTTACCTTTTTTCTTTTATAGTCTTTTTTTACTTTATAGTCAAATATTTGCTTAAATGCCTAAGGCCGCTTGTTACAATTCCTTGAAAATCCACGGCTATATAGAAGAATTGGGGGAAACATATTTTTGACCGATGTGGAATAAAAGTAAAACACGACCAAAAATACCACAACCTATTACTTAATTGTTAAATAACGACGAATCGAACGAGCTTTTAAGTGGAGTTTAGTGTCGGTAGATGTTGAGATGAGCCTTAGTTCCTTCAAATCAATGCTTCGCGATAATCTCATGAGGCTGTGGCGTAAAAATTTTAAAATGCACTTAGTGGCATTGTGCTACTATGGTAGCACAGCCGAGTAATCATAGTCGACTTATGTATTTTGACAAGTTTTAAAATATTATTTTTGCTGTTATTTAATTTTGGTTAGTGTTTTATAAAAATATGGTTAATTCTTTAACAATATCCGTGTGAATACAAGTTTAAAGGTACATAGTGCCACATGATTGGGCATTTGCCCAAAATTTGGTGCAAATTGTATCCCAATTGTGGGAATATCCAAATATTTTTCTTTATCCCAATCACGAAAAATAATTTGTTCAAATTTTTCAATAGAAGATCGCTGTATTGTACCAATCTTGTGACTACAAAAAAAAAATTGTCCTCCCAATTTTTATATATGTATATTGTACTAATATTCCAATATAAAAATGTACAAATGTACTAATCCAGTGACACTGCCTTAAAACTTTGTGCAATATTAAAAAAAAAAAACAAATTTTTGTAAAACTTTCGAGCTTAGAATTCCTTGAAGGATTCTAAGTATGCAGTGGTGTAGCCCATTCAATTCTAATAGAATAAAGTACAAGTTTCAAATGGCTACCGGGTTGACTTTTTAGAATTAAAAAAAAAGCACAAAGTTGGAAACTTCGATTTACACGGGGTTCGTTAAAGAATGAACTATATTTTTATACCTTTCATGAGCATGAAATGGTATTATAACTTTGGTCCGATGTTTGTAAGTACCAGAACAAAAAGAGATAGACCCATGAAAATGTATACTTATATGATCAGAACGTCGAGCTGAGTTGATTTAGCCATGTCCGTCTGTCCGTCTGTCCGTCTGTCTGTCTGTTTGTATGCAATCTAGTCTCTCAGTTTTCGAGATATCCGGATCAAATTTGGTAGGTGGGTGTATTTTTGTAATGTATTAATCATTTGTCGGAACCGGAAGAATCGGACCACTATAACATATAGCTCCCATACAACTGATTGTTCAGATATGAGATTTTTCATTATAACTTCTCCGTTTATGCAGCTACGAACATGAAATTTTGCAATACTTGCAACCATTATCAACAAAATACTTACAGTGAAAATTACAAAGATCGGGTCACTATAACCTATAGCTCCCATACAACTGATTGTTCAGATATAAAATTTTGCGTTATAATTCCTCCATTTATATAGCTAGGAACATGAAATTTCGCGCTATTTTCACTCATTATCAACAGAAGACTTACAGCGAAAATAACAAAGATCGGGTCACTATAACCTGCAGCCCCCATACAACTGATTGTTCAGATATGAGGTCTTTTATCATAACTCCTCCATATATGCAGCTAGGAACATGAAATTTCGCACCATTTTCACTCATTATTAACAGAATACTTACAGTGAAAATAACAAGGATCGGATGACTACAACATATATATTCCATACATCAGATTGTTCAGATATGGCATTTTACTGTAAAACTCCTTTATTTGAACAGCTAAAACCGATAAATTTCGTAAGATATTTTATAAATAATAATACAAAGTCTACTGAGAAAATCGTCAAAATCTATGCTGTATAAGCTTTATCTCCTATAGCACTGATTGTTAAGATACCAGTTTTTGCCATATATCTCCTTTATGTACGAAACTAAACCTAATAAATTGTGTTACCGGTTTACATACCGATCACATAGCGGTGAAAATCACTTAGATTGGTGTCATATAAAGTATATCTTCCATACCTCTGATTGTTTAGATGCGATTTTTTATATAAGTATGTAACTCCTCTATCGATGTATGCAGATGTATTCAAAAGCAGTAATCTGTCAAAGTAAAATTTGCAGATGTTCATGAAAGGTATGAAGCCTTCGGCATAGCCGAAGACAGCGCTGCTCTTACTTGTTATAAAAAAAAAATAACCAAAATTAAATAACAACCAAAATTTGTTTTTGTTAATTTGTGGCCTTATAACAATTATATTCAGAAATTTTTATTTAACTTGAGGCCGTTGCTTTTCCGCAATAAGTTTTTCATTAAAAACGGCCTCAAGCTCAATAAAAATTGTTGAATATAACAACCAACTTAATATGTCAGAACTTGGCAAAAAGTGGTGCGGCTATAATTTTTTGACCACTGTATGTATTTTTTTATAGATTCAATTGGACATGCCAATTGAACATAAAAGCTATGTATAACAAAATTAAAAATAAATGCC